TAGCTTGTAGAATGTGATCGTCACTCAAATGTGATCGAACACAACTATGTTAAACCATATTCTGCTGCTATGTGAATGTCTCTCATCATTTAGTTGGCTTATTTTGGTAATTTTATGAGACTTTGGCCCAAATGTATCCAGTCGTCCAGAGTCTTATCAAATCACAATGATGTTCAATCTGTTTTGATGATTCGGTCTCATTGGCTTTCATTGAATTGAATGCACATAATCTGAGTTTGATGAAGCCACTGCACTAATGGCTCTTTAATGATCTCAGTGATCTGGACTGATTCTCAAACGCAGATTGTAGACTGTAGAAACCACTGGCACTAATAGCTCTTTATGATCTACGTAGGCTTATGATGCCTTTGAGAAACACTGTCCTGGCTTCCCTTTCTCCTCTGCTTCTCATTTTGTTCATGGTCTTTAGATCCTTCTCTGGAAATCCCTTCCTCTCTTTTGATTTGAGGACAGTCTCAGCTCACACTAAATGCTCTTTTGTCCAGTTGATGATGTCCTCAAAGGCAGTTTTCCTCTGAATTATCAAATGCTCGTGAAGAGTTTATAAATAGGAAACACGTGGATGTTAATGAAGTTATTTTTCCACGCTCCTCTGTTGAAGTTTAACATGGTTAATGTGATTGTGCTTTATTCTGGGCTATTAAAACTCACACAAAAACACAATGATTTTCTGAAAGCTGTGGTAAAACATTAACACCACAGATGCTGCGAACAACTTCATCGTTAATTAACTGTCTTTTCTTCTCTTTGTTCTTATTCTCCTTTTCTTCTGCTCCTCCTTCTCCTTCTTGTTCTTCTTCTTTTTCTCATTGTTGTTCTTTTCCTTTTCATTGTTCTTATTTTTCTAATTTTTCTTAGTTTATCCTCCTGTTTTCTGATTGTTGTTGTTCTTCTCCTCCTTTTTCTCGTTGATCTTCTCCTCGTCTTTCTCCTTGTGGCTCCTCTCATTCTTCTTTCTTCTCCCTCTTTGCATTGTTCTTCTTCTTGATGTTCTTGCTCTTCTCGTCATTCTCCTCCTCCTTGTTCTCGTTTTTCTTCCTGTTGTTGTTCGTCTTCTCAATGTTCTTCTCATTGTTGTTCTTTTCGATGTTCTCGTTTGATGTTGTTCTTCTCCTTCTCTTTGTCCTCCTCCTCCTTCTCCTTCTCCCTTTTCTCATTGTTCTTCTCCTTGATGTTTTTGTTCATTTTTGTCGTTATTCCTGTTCTTCTCCTCCTTCATCGTTTTGTTTCCTCCTCCTTTTACTTCTTGTTGTTCTTCTTCTTTCTAATTGTTTCTAATTGTTCTTTGTCGTCGTCTTCATCTTCTCTTCCTTCTCCCCCTTTGTTTTTCATGGATAGTTAGAACAGATTGAATTCGAGATCATATAACGGACTACAAACTCTTTGTTAGTGTTCAGGTCAAGTTATTCACGACTCTAATTAAACTTCATAGAGGATGTTGAGACCAGTATTAATAATATAGGGCATGAAACACAATTAAAATAATGTAATCTTTAAATGTGCTGGACTGGAAAACACAATTACATCATTAACCTGTTACGCCGCTGACTTTTTTTTCCCCCTCCCTCTCTTTTATGTGTCAACCAAAGATGCAGGAAAATTCAATGCTTTATTGATTTTAAGTCAGTTCTAATTACTTGATGCATTATACATGTGTTATGTGCTTTTGTCCTTTTTTCAGTGGTAAAAATAGCAAATTCAGATCTGGATTGTTATGAGACTCATTTTTCTTATTCCAAAATCCTCTCTCTTTCCCCTGTTCCTCTTTTTGGCACAAAATTGGGAGAAAATAGAAACATCCTTTTGCTTTTTATAACTGTAAGTAGGTTAGTGTGTTCAACGTAAATAAATAAACAAACCTAAAAAGAGTATGAATGAAAAAGTGCAGCCAAGCTTGGGCTGTATTCTTAAGGGAACGCCTCACACCAACGCTGCCTTTATATTTAATGCCGTGCTCTTGGCTGTTTTTCAACACACTGAATTCAGAGCAATCACATCTCGGCCAAACGCATGCCGAAAATCCAGCTGAACTCTGGATGAGACCCGCTGGAATCGAAACTTTTCTGACGGGCGGTTCGCGGATCAGACTCTAGGCCATGCTGGCTGCCAAAAATCATCATCTTGACAGGTTATTGTTAACAGGATAAAGATGCATGGATATCGGGATTCCCTATGGAGACCTGATCTGGTTTAACCTGATTCAACAACTTTTTTTTTTTTTTTCTCCAAAGGCTTTTCAGAGAAGTCATCATTTACACTCACTCTTGTCTTTCCACTGAACATAAATGAGAATTTTGAAGACTTGCTTTTTGAAGCTTGAAACGCTTCAGTCCCAGTTCATTGTAAGTGCATGAAAAGCCTTCAGATTACTTCCTTTTGTGCTCTGAGGGAGAAGGAAGGTCAGTGTGAGTATTTATTTTTGAGTAAACTGTTATTTTCAATCAAGTTTTCAAAGCTTTGAACCAAACTGATCAGCTCAGGGATGAATCACGACGTTACAACATCTGATTTCCCAGCAAAAAGATTGAACAAGGTGAAGATGATGATGGAGTCGGATGAGTACATCTAGTCTCTGCCTACAAAACTCAAAACAGCCCTTTTCCTGTTTCCATGGTAACGGTGACATCTCCCATTGGCTGATCTTGGTTTTACAGTTTTAAAACTGTACCATTAAACAAAATGAAATGCTGGAACCAGATTTTTTTTTTTTTCGATTTTGAAAAATATTTTTATTTTTATTTCATTTTTGGTTTGTTTTATCAGAACTGACTAATTTTTAAGAATCAAATATTTTTTTAATTTTTAACAAATATTTTTTTAATTTTTTTTTAAATTGTATTTATTCCGTTTTATTTTTATGTATTTTTTATTTTATTTTATTTTATTTTAATTTATTTTCAGAACTGAATGGTTTTTACATTTGGCTTTGTTAGCTTTTATAATACAAAAGCTATAAATAGACAACACCTCTTTATATTAAGATAGAAGATAGATATCTTTATACTGAATGCAACAGCAAACACTCAGCGTGACCAATGTTGTTTGATTCATTCAGCCTAGATCTGAATGGTCAGTCTGAATCAGTCGAATGACTCACTGAATCATTTGGAGATGTTATTGAGTTACCAGCTGACTCACTCACTGATCGTCATCATTTTCAGTCCTATCTGACTCGTACCTGCACAACCGGTCTGTAATTAACTCTCTCGAGTCTTATGTAATCATGTGTAGTTAAAGATACGCATTTAAAGGTCCCATGACATGCTGTTTTTTGGATGCTTTTATATAGGCCTAAGTGATCCCTAGTACTGTATCTGAAGTCTCTTTCCCGAAATTCAGCCTTGGTGCAGAATTTCAGCCACTACGAGCCAGTCCCACAATGAGCTTTCCTTAGGACGTGCCATTTCTGTGTCTGTAGCTTTAAATGCTAATGAGGAGGAGAGAGGCGGGGCAACTGCCGTGCTTCGCTCGTTTGCAAGCCATGATGTCTCTCGAGGAAAAAAAAATATTGCGCTCGCCTCGCACGGTAGTAGCTCATTTTCTCATGGGCGGGCCAAATTCTCTGGGCGGGCAAAGCAGAGAAAGGGGAGGTAACCTTTCCCCGTATGACGACATAAAGGGAAGATTCCAGATTGGGCCATCTGAGCTTTCATTTTCTCAAAGGCGAAGCAGGATACCCAGGGCTCGGTTTACACCTATCGCCATTTCTAGCCACTGGGGGACCATAGGCAGGCTAGGGGAACTCATATTAATGTTAAAAAACCTCATAAAGTGAAATTTTCATGCCATGGGACCTTTAAGAACCTCAGAGCATCTGTCTCGGAGTTTATTTGTTATCAACCCCTAAATATTCATTTTAATCTTTAATGCCGTTTTTAGTTCTGGAATCTCATTGAGCTGTATTGCATATGGAATATGAATCGTGATATTCATAATTTGTGATGCTTTTGAATGAATGGAAATGATTGCACTGCCATCTGGATTGAGAACAGCGTTAGTTTCACTCACAGTTTTGCTCCGTTTGTTTTCCATTGATGAATGGAGAATATTAATGACCATGTCTTGCTGTAAAGATGATGAGCCGTGAGTCTGTTGAACCTTTTTGTTTTCCCGGACGTTCAGGATGTTATTGGACCAGCCTGATGGGCTGCTTTGACTTTCTGTCAGGACGTTCTCTTGCATCTTTAGATTACCTGAGCAATGTCTGACCTCAACAGGTTGTCTGTTTCTTCACTATAGCTGTGCTGAAACTCCATTATTAGGTGTCTGTGCTGTGCTTGGCCTCATATTTGGTTCAGTATCTCTGTGTCTGTGATTATTTTGCGAGCTACTTGATTGCATTTCTACAAGCTGCATGTTTGTTCTGAATGCATGAGTGATGCTGCTTCAGAACAGAGACAGAAGAGTTGTACTAGTGCTGTTCCACAAGTGTCAGTCTACATAGGCAGCTTCCTACTAAGGGGACATTCACAGTTTCACACAGGCTTTCCGTCTGTCAGATTTTTAAAAAACTTTTCACAAAGCCAAAAATTTCAGTAGTTGATACCAACACTATAGACTAACTTTTTCCACAAGCACTTAACTTATACATCAGAAACAAAAATGTAACAAAAAAAAATATGTAAAAGTGTTCTCTTTTCTGTATTTCCTTCTGCTTTAGCTGTGTACTAAGTTTATACTATAATATATATATATATATATATATATATATATATATATACTCCTATTATTACTGTCATTAAATAATATTATACTTATAAGTTACTATGTGTATTTTTTTATTTAGCAACTTTGCTAACATGAGCGACAGCAAACTTACTGACGGGAACACTAGCACACAACAAACTGCATGTGCCTACTGACAAGCTGATTTGCATTATGGGAAAGACTGTTTGCGCACTATAGAAGCTATAGAAGTTTTTTTGACATCAGGTTTTAAGATCAGGGTATATTCACTGATCTGCGTCCTATGGTTTTGGTTACATGGTCCAGAAGTGTAGATTGAGGTGTTGTGGCTCCAGGTGGTGGATCACAGCTCCAGCTCCACTGTTAGGGGCTCTGAACCCTGGCAGAGGGTCCGGCGTGGAGAGAATGTAGTCAATGCTGAATTTGATCTCAGGCTCAGGTTTGTTTTGGGCCGGTCTGTGACTAGTGTTCACAGGGCAGAAAGAATCTGAATCCGTGGGTCTTACTGCAATGCCCTGATGAGTGTCCATGGCAACAAAGGGTTCGGCTGGCTCCTTCAGGCCCATTTTTAAGTTGCGTCTGCGGCGGCGGCGACGAAAGTTGCCATTTTCAAAGAGGTCCAGCATGGACTCACAGCCTGTGGCGAATGTCCAGTAATTACCTTTTCCTTTCTCGTTACCTTCCGTACGGGGCACCTGAGGAAAACAAATAATCAGCAGCCAGTTGCAACAAACCCCTAAAGTTAGGAAAACCATTAGTAATAATGCCCTTACAATTATAACTATGGGTTTTCTTTACAATTTCTTACATGTTTATTGCAACTGAGCACAGATTTCAGAACGTCCTGTGATGCACAACAATCTGGTTATGTTTATATATTGGAAATTGTTTTTTTTTTTTTTTTTTTTTTGG